ACTACAAATGAAATCAATATGTGACGGCTCAGTGATTGGTTGTGTGTTTGTCCCCGAGTTACAGGCTGATTGCTGGAGGGCGTGGCTTTACACCTGAACGAGATCATGATACTTTAAAAGAGACTGGGTCAAACCGAGAAGAGGGAGGTGTGCTCGCTGGTGTTGTTGCTGCTCTGGAGGTTTCCGGAGAGCTGACGGGATGTGTTGGTTACGGGAGACCACAGCCGCATCGGAGATCTGATGTGATCCAACGTCCCCTAGGACGTTTTGATTTGGGACTTTTCGTTGCTTATATTTGGTTGAACTGATGTCACTCGAACTTGCTACATACATTCACATGCTGACACGCTGACTAACACTTACACTGATCACTTGACATTCACGTTTCTTACTTTAGTTAAATAAATCGTATTGTTTATGCAGCGGTTGTGTGGCGTCTCCCTTACTTTGTTGCGGTCCAAGAATAGGATCGTAACAATAACATATTTAAAAAAGCAGCACAGAGAAGTGAATTGAAAAAGAAAGGCAAAAAATACACTAAAAATACTCCAAAAGATGAAAAATGGTTTGACTCAGACTGCAAAACATTAAGAAAACAACTCAGAAAATGATCAAATCTGAAACATAAAGAACCAAACAACACTGACATAAGAACTGAATACTTTTCAAAACTAAAAATATATAAAGACACAATTAGAGTGAAGAAGCAACACCATCTGACCAAAAGTATAGAAGAATTAGAACATTCAATAAATCAGAATCAGTTCTGGGATATGTGGAATAATCTGAGCACGGCAAAACCACAAGACCTACCAATACAAGATGGAAAAATTTGGACAAATCATTTTGAAAACTTATATAAAGAAATCCCATCAAACCAACTCAATGACAACTATAATCGGATCAAACAAAATCTACAAACTTATGAAGAGACAATTAAACAATCAAAATCCACTTGATTTCCCAATCACACATGAAGAATTGGCAAACAAACTCAAAAACCAAAAAGGTAAGAAATCTTGTGGTCCTGACAGCATTCTAGGTGAGATGCTGAAACACAGCACACCGGAGCTGCAGGCGGCCGTGCTCAAACTATTCAACACTGTACTTAGTTCAGGCTGTTTTCCTGACATCTGGAGCCAAGGACTCATTACCCCAATCCATAAGAGTGGAAATAAATTGGATCCTAATAATTTCAGAGGCATTTGTGTGAGCAGTAAGCTGGGGAAGTTATTTAGCAGTATTTTAAACAATAGAATTGTAAGCTTCCTTAACGAACACAATGTCCTGAGCTCGAGTCAGATTGGCTTCATTCCAAATCACAGAACTACTGACCACATTTACACCCTACACACCCTAATCAATAAACACGTAAAACAAACCAAAAACGGAAAAATATTTGCATGCTTTGTCGATTTCAAAAAAGCATTTGATTCTATTTGGCACAACGGATTATATTATAAACTTTTACAAAGTGGTGTAGGGGGTAAAGTCTATGACATTATAAAATCAATGTATTCGAACAACAAATGTGCAATACGAATTGGCAACAAACATACAGAATTCTTCACCCAGAAAAGAGGAGTGCGGCAGGGCTGTAGCCTGAGTCCAACGCTGTTCAACATCTACATTAATGAACTAGCGGTGCAGTTGGAGCAGTCTACAGGTCCGGGACTCACTCTACTACAGGACAGGAGCATCAAGCTCCTGCTGTACGCAGACGACCTGGTGCTGCTGTCACCCACTGCACAGGGACTACAGCAGCACCTGGACCTGCTGGAGAACTACTGCCAGAACTGGGCCCTGGCAGTCAACCTCACAAAGACCAACATTATGGTCTTTCAGAAGAAGCCCAGATGTCAGGAACACAGATACCAGTTCAGTCTAGGCAGCACCGGCCTAGAGCACACGATGCAGTACACTTACCTCGGCCTGGTCATCACTGCACACACACACACACTTACCTCGGCCTGGTCATCACTGCATCGGGGAGTTTCAGTGTGGCAGTGAATGCTCTCAAAGATAAAGCTCGAAGAGCTCTATATGCAATTAAGAAGAAATTCCAAAACACTGAATTACCGATTCCAATCTGGTGTAAAATCTTTGATAGTGTAATCCAGCCCATTGCGCTGTATGGAAGTGAGGTTTGGGGTCCACTCAGTGATCAGAGCTACACTAGATGGGACAGACATCCAACAGAAGCCCTACACACAGAATTCTGCAAAATGATATTAAAACTACAAAGGAAAACACCCAATAATGCATGTAGGGCAGAATTAGGCCGATTCCCATTTATTATTAATATGCAAAAAAGATCCCTTAAATTCTGGATGCATCTAAAATCAAGTCCCACAGAATCGCTACATTTTAAAGCATTACAAACCCAAGAACTGAACCCCGAAAAGAGTCCCCTCAGTCAGCTGGTCCTGAGACTCACTAACCCGACTAACTCTAACCAGTCTCAGACCAGCACTGCTTCTCTCACACACATCAGAATAAACCAAATTACCAAACAGTCTAAAAATACATATTTGGAACATTGGGATCAGGAAACCAAAACACAAAGTAAATTACAATTCTATCGAAATTTGAAATCTAATTATGAAATGGAAGAATATCTCCAGAGTGTGAGGGACACAAAGCAGAGACGGATCCTGAGCAAGTACAGGCTGAGTGAACACAGTCTAGGGTGTGTGTTCAGTGTAGGACAGGAGAGATCGAGACAGAAACACACTTCCTCCTTCACTGTCACAGATACAGCTCAATCAGAGACCTCTACTTAAACAAACTCACTAACTTGCTACAGGACTTTACAGCCATGCCTGAAGTAGAGCAGATACAGATCTTACTAGGAGAGGGACAGACCGCAGCACTGGCTGCCAGATACATGTGTGTATGCCACAGCCTGAGAGACAGCAGGTGAATGTGTGTGTAATGTGTGTGTGTGTGTGTGTCTGAACTCAGTGTGTCTCCCTACTGTCCACCACAGTGACCCTCAGGAATGTGTGTGTGTTTATGTAAAACACTGTGGTATCAAAATGTTCACAGATATTCTAATCTGTTACACTGTTCACTTGTACAATTAATTTAATTTGTACATTTAAATTTAAGTTATAATATTTGACTATTTTGATGTCTTTATAATTTTTCTATGTATTCCAAGCTTTGGCAATATTGTAATATATACAGTCATGCCAATAAAGCAATTTGAATTTAATTGAGAGAGAGAGAGAGAGAGAGAGAGAGAGAGAGAGAGAGAGAGAGAGAGAGAGAGAGAGAGAGAGAGAGAGAGAGAGAGAGAGAGAGAGAGAGAGAGAGAGAGAGAGAGAGAGAGAGAGAGAGAGAGAGAGAGAGAGAGAGAGAGAGAAAACATCACCAGCACAACATACACACTAAATATTAAGTAATGGGAGTTTAGTTTGACATGATTTATATGATAGCTTTAGCTTATATTATATTTTATATTATAAAGTAAATGTCCTGAAATCTAAATATTCATCTATATTTTCTTAAAACCGACTTTTATGACAAGTACTCATTTTTGGGTAGGCAGGCCTACTAGTCACTATTCCATTTACTATTTTTATTATTGTCTATATTATCCTGCAATTGATATTACATTGTATTTGCTATTATTATTATTATATTATACCACTTGCGATTATCAATCTATTATAGTTATGCTGTTAAATTATTGTACTATTCACTAGTCACTATTTAAAGTATTATTTTTTTATTGTCTATATTCTGTCATTGATATTTCAGTATCCGTCACTCTTCAGAAGAGGTTTAAAGTCCAGGTTCAGAAAGTAAAAGTCCTCCTCAGTGTTTTGGTCCAATCACCTGGATTTGCTAATTAGGACAGTTTTTCTGCCAGGAGATGAGTTCATGGGTGGATTAAACATATGGCAGGATTTTTACTTTACACCTCTGCTCTTCAGTGCCGAGCCCGAACGAGGAAAGATGAATAAGAAGCTAATTTTAGCAGTCAGAAACTGTGCTCTTTGCCATCGCGGCTATTTAACTGCAGCAAAAGAGCAAATGCCGAGGCTCGGAGTCAGACCAGCGAGTACCACCGTATGTACACAGAGACATTTCATAAATTATAGGATTCCTATAATTTATGAAATGTCTCAGTGTACATACGGTGGTACTCGCCGCTCTGACTCCGAGCCTGAATGACCGGCATTTGCCCTTTTGCTGCAGTTAAATAGCCGCGATGGCAAAATGCACGGGCTGTTTCTCATTAATCTTTAATAGTATGCATTTTATGTACTGATTATATTTATGTTTAGACTTTTCCTTCTAAAATGTTTCTTTGTTGGTGGCAAGAAAACTGATTTGTTGTCTACAACATGGAGTTAACCTCCGTGAATCACTCACAAACATTACTAGGCAACCAGTACTGGGAACGCCTACTAAAGACCTCACCGCCAGACACTGGCAACATGCAGCGACAAAGTCGTTTGTAGTGTGAATGCACCTTTATGGGTCTTTGCCCTAAAAAATCTTTGAAGACCCCCGTATTAACTGATTCTGACAGCATTTCATGCGATTTCAAACACAGATGCAAAGATCAAACTTCCCTTCTGTCATGATCTGATAATCAGTCTCATCCACACTTTACCAGGAGGTTTCAAACTTTTCGATAACAAGAATCCCCATATACAATGATCCCATCATGATCCTAAAATACTTTATATGAGCAACATTACATAGTGTTGTTATAAACACATATCATGTGTCTTTCAAAACTAAATGTACTAAATGGCTTTTATATTGCACTGGAGTCCATTGCACTTTTATATTGCGTTTTATATTGCACCTTCTATCCTCTCGGGGGCCCTGGAGCACAGTCTGAAAACCTGTGTGCTTTACAATAATAATTCAGAAAATAAACACACCAATAAAATGACAACTCTATTATAGTTTAGTCATTGTATTCATCATGTTTTCATTTCATTTGTTGCAAAAGCAGCAAGGTAAATATCATTAAAGTCTTAAACCAAAAGATTATACTCACTATATACAACTACTTTGAAGGTCTTGTTTGTGGTTCCTCTGCTGCTGATGATCTGTAGTTTATAAACTCCAATGTGTTCAGTTCTTATGCCTGTGATGGTCAGAGATCCAGTCTTCACATCCAGCTTCAGTCTGCCTCTGAATCTCACATCATCATCATGTGTCTCTCCGGTCCCTCCTCTGTTTTCAGCGATGAGAATGCCTTTATCTCCAAACCTCCACTGTATCAGATCATCTTTCTGTATTTCAGTTTCAGGGTTTAGAGTGACTGATTCTCCCTCCACCACTGATTTCAGCCTCTCTTCATTAGTGACAGCAGAACATAGAAACAGATAAACACAAAGAAATGTTGCCATCAGATCAAGAGTGTGCATGTGAACATCACAGCTTGAAACTACTACATAAATATCATTCAGATGGACATGATTTGCTGTCTTCTCACACAGAAAATTCATATTACTGTCTCAGTTCCAGTTTGCTAAACACTTGATCTGAGAAGTGCTGATCTAAATAAAAGCTGGAGGAAGTACTTGTGGATGCAGGTAAGCAACAAAATGGGTTTTAGCTGAATTTGACAAGCTGTAAAGCTAAATAAAAGAGAGAGATTCAGATGAATATCCTCATGTTATGACCCTGTTCTGTCTCCATATTTTGAGCTGAAGATGCTAGATCATGTCACACACACACACACACACACACACACACACACACACATTTGTTTCACTGTCTAATTCAATGGGGAATTGTGAAACTGTAATTTTACATTTTTGATCACTGAACTGATTTAATTCCTTGTGTTTACAGATGCCTGTAGTGTAGGGTCATAACACTTTGAAGCAAATTGTGAAGCTGTGTGCAAAAAGGGGCACCAGCGGTTGTTTTGTTTGAGGAAACGGTCTTATTTTAACATTGACAAAAACATGATGGTCTTATTCTATCGTGCTTTTATTGAATCAATTTTATCTTTTTCTCTGGTGTCATGGTTTGGAAATCTATCCTTAAAGAATAGAAACTCCCTAAATCAAATTGTTAAGTGGTCTAGTAAGCTGATTGGTGTGTCACAGTTTAGTCCAGTGTCCCTGTACACCAGACAGTTACAGTGGATAACTGGCTCAATTTTAAATGATGATGCCCATCCTCTGCACAGGGAATTTCAGCTTCTTCCCTCCAGACGAAGGTATATAGTCCCAAAGTGCAGAACAAAGCGGTATAAAAATAGCTTTGTTCCAGCAGCCATCAATCAGAGGAACAAAATGCACAGATGACACAGAAGCTATGTTTTATTTATTTTTATTTATTTTATCCATTTTATTTTATTGTTGTCAAATGTGTATTGTCTGTGTTTGTCTTAAAAAATTGTGTGGATAACTATAAAGGACAAATAAACAAATAAAGGAACCTGAACCTGTAATAGAGTTAAAGCTGTTCACCACTTGAGAACTGTGGTTCCCTTTCGTTGTCACTCCAAGTTACGTCGGATGACGACGAATGGGAGTTTCGCTTAGAAAGCCTATCGACTTCAAATATTACAAAACGAGCCAATGGCAAGGGAAATACAATGGGTCTGCGGAATTTGCATGGTGCAACTCCACCTCACCTCGTGGGTATAAAAGGAGGACGCCGGCAACATGCAGATATGTTTTCACTTCGAAACCAAATGTATACTTCACTCCACAAGCCATCTCTATCAACTATCAGTTCTACGAGACGAGTGACTCTCCTGTGTTGGTGTGACGGCGTTCTCCAGCGAGTGCACATTGCCTGCTGTATTTCCACTGTAAGCCTCTCTGAGCCTCTCTTTCCCTTGGCAAGCCACCTTGCCACCCCTGGGGTTGATATATTCCACCTGCAGCTGGACACCCCAGTGTTCTCCATATGCATCCCTCTGGGTCATATGTGTATTCTCTAAGCCCCCCCTCCCCCTACCAGACACTCGGTAGAAAGTATGATTAAGTTACAGCAATAAAGTTCAGCAAGATAAAGTTTTATGCGAAACCATAGACCTTTATCTACAGATCAAGTATAATAATAGTAACATTGAATCATCTGGGAGAGAGTTTCATCGTGTTGACTGTCGTAACCGAACGCGACGCGGTGTTTGAATGCTGAATGAAGAATGATTGAGTCACAGCCGGAGTCAATTCACCTTTGTTTGGCCTTCCCAGGGACGTTGTGCTTAGAGATCAATGGTTACAGTTTATGTTTAACTCGGTTCCAGAAAAATATAATCCTCATTTAAAACTATGTGCAGCACATTTTTTCCGAGGACAGCTTCCTTGAGGTGTTACAGTACTTTTTGTATTTCTTTGCAACAGATGTTTTCAAACTCCGTTGGCATTTTGTCACAGTTACCACATGTACACCTATAAAACATATATTACTAATCAAAACTCGTGCACACGTGTAACTAAGGTAGGAATAAACAATGGACTTATTTTAAAAATTCAACAACACCATCGTTAATTCGACAGACGGACAAAACCATATACCACAAGCTTTTATAACAGTTTGTAACATTTAACATTACAATTTAACCAATTAAAAGTATGACAACTACTAAATAAACAGCTTACCACTGTGAAACATCCTGCAAAAGTCGTGTTTGAACAGGTTCTTCTAATCGATTCTCTTCATCTATGTTCTCCGGGTCTGATTCAGGCTCAGATTGATATGGTAATATGTTTGAGATTTTTACAATATCAATCAGCGCATGCATCTCCAATTTATGGTAAGAGGCGTGACCTTTCCGGGCAACGTGCGATAAGCTGCTGTCCAATCACAACACAGGAACCACTGGCACAATCAGAACTCGTTACGTATTTCTGAAGGAGGGACTTCATAGAACAAGGAAGTCATCGGCCCGTTTTTTGGACAGTGAAAACAGCGGTATACAGATAAGTAAATTGTGTGAAAAATACTGTGTTTTTTTAGACGCGAAACATGAACACATGTTATATTGCACACTGTAAACACAATCAAAGCTTCATAAAACCACGAAGAACGGGATCTTTAAAAGGTTGCAAAGGAAATATGAAGATGACATGTCAGTGTCACACAATGTTATTTTTATTGCCTTAAAATTACTGACAAATGCAAGTTGTCTTCACTGAATGACTGAGTAATTCATAAAGTAGACTGTGTTCCATAATATTTGGGAAAGCAGCATTTTGATGAGAAAATGCCATTCAAGTGTCATACAATGTAAACATTTAAGACTATCAGCTTGTGAGTGTGAGGTACAAGTTAACACGAGCACAGCAGCGCATTGCTATAATCAAAAACCAAACATATCAAACAGAACTCGAGTAACTCGATAAAAAAATTACTTTTGCAGTTACAAATTATGAAATCACTTATTTTTACTTTTACAATGATACCAACAATCACATAGTGAGATCGTTGTCTTGTAATGGACATGTTGCACATGTTTGCTGAATTGACAAATCTGTGGCGATCGTTCACAGCTGGAGTAAAGCTCAAGAAATCTCCAGTTAACAGTGACAGTCTCAGCCTCAGGCGTCACTCCCACAGAACGTTGGCTAAACGTCTGATGCATATGGTACACTTAACTGGAAACACTTCAGGAATGTCGAAGTCGTCATCTGATTGGTTGAATTTTATCGGATTTCTGGGGGGCGCGAGTGTCGCCTTTATTTTCGGTCCGCCGGGAAACAAAGCGCAGACGTGTGATTGCGGAAGAAAAACTGTTGTGTTTACATGAGTGACAATGAGCATTTATCAAGATCAGCTAAACGTAGGATTCTCAAAAGTATGCGAGGTTCACGGCATAGACTCTTTAAGAGATGTCCAGGAGTTTTGTTTGAGGCACTTAGTGGAGACAAAAAGAGATATTTTAGCCTGTTTGCCGACGGGATTTGGGAAGAGTATTATTTTCCAAGCCTGGCCGACCCTTTGTCAGCATTTAGAAGGATTCCCAGCAGATCCAATTTTTAGGGGCCAAGCACCGAAGGTGCAGAGGCACCTATTGTATCTGTTGGTTTTCTTATTATTATTATTATTCCGTGAATGGGAGTCTATGGCAGCCCTATGAACCGTAAGTAGGAAAATGATGAAATTTGGCACACTTGTAGTGATGCTAGTGAATAGTAATTGGACCAATTTTTGACCCTCTAGGACCAACTCTATAGCGCCACCAGCAGTTCAAAAATTCAACATTGAAATGGTTATAACTTTTGAACCCTTTGATCTAGAGACATGAAACTTAGTACACCTGATTCCACTCATCATGCTGATCACAACCAATACCTTACATTAAGACCCCACCCATTACAGTAGTGGCCATTTTGAAATGTACAGTATTCAGTTATTTCGCTACTCCTCCTTCAAATTTTGTCCAATTTTCTCCAAACATGCACTCAAATGATCTTCAGACTGAGCCGCATAAAAGTACTGTTCCCGATTTTTTTGTTATACTGGAAAAAAAAAGTTATAATGTCGCAAACTTAACAAGGTCCACCCAAAATTGGCTAAGAGGCTGTATCTCGGCCAAAGTTTGATCAATCGAAACGAAAATTGGTACACTTCATCGGAAGCATGTTCTGAGGTCCCATACCAAAGTTGGGAATAGCGCCACCTACGGGTCATGAGATATGACAAATTGATATTTTGGCCAATAACTTTTGAACAGTTTGTCAGAAATTCATAATTGTGGTATCTATGGATTCCTTGCATCATGCCGAATCCGTGGATATTGATTTTGCCATGATGGGATGTACCACGTGTCCGCCATTTTGAATTTTGTCATAATTTGCAATATCTTTTAAACTATTTGAAATTTCCTCACCACATTTGGTATGGATCATCATTAGCATGGCCCGAAGGTACATGAGAAGTTTGATCACAGCGCCACCTAGTGTTCCAGAGATATCATTGTTTTTTGAAAAAACGCTTATAACTTTTGCTATCATTGCTTGAAATTTGATTTCTTTAGGTCAATATATTCCTTGGCTTATGCCGATTTCAACGATATCTCATATGCTATTTTCCAACAATGTGACTGGCCGCCATATTGGAGCGAATGTAAAACAGTTTTTTCGCTACTCCTCCTTCAAAATTTGTCCAAAATTGTCCAAAATTTGCTCAAATGATCTTCGGACCGAGCCGCACAGAAGTACTGTTCCCGATTTTTTTGCTATACTGAAAAAAAAAAAGTTATGATGTCGCAAATTTAACAAGGTCGACCCAACATTGGTTCAGATGCTGTAACTTGTGAACAGTTTGTCACAAAATCATAAAATTGGTGTCTATCGATTCCGTGCATCATGTCGAATCCGATGATATCTATTTTGCCAGGATTGGATGTACCACGTCATAAGCTAAATTAGCATTAAGCTAGCTTAGCATGCTAATCTGGTTAACATGTCATGGAACTTTTTTGTGAACTCATTCTCACACTGAACCCTCTCCTCTGCTGTTTTGAAATTCACGTCCTCTGAGTGGCGCAATCAGCTAAACCATGCATCTCGAATCCAGAACCATTCTGGTCGTGGGTTCGAGTCCCATGTGGAACGACTTTAAAATTGTGTATAAAGTTGTCATTTCAATTCCTTCCGGCTCTGCTCTGCTGTTGGTGCTTAAATGCTCGCTGAGCTTCATTTACATGTATATTCAATTTGTGCTGTTTTTGTTCTTGCGGCTCTGCACTGCTATTGGTGCTTAAATGCTTGATGCGCTGCTGTACTTGCAGTACTTGCTGTACTTGCTGTGCTTGCTGTGCTTGCTGTACTTTTTGTACTTGCTGTACTTGCTGTGCTTGCTGTACTTGCAGTTTGCAGTACTTGTTCTGCTTGCAGTGCCAAGCCTTTGAACTTTGCTGTACTTGTTCTAATTGCGGTGCCAAGCCTTTGAACTTTGCTGTACTTGTTCTAATTGCGGTGCCTTGCAGGGCTTGGCCCCGTGTTGCTGCTTGCAGCTATATTACTAGTTGTGTAGTTGTGTGTCCCCTCCTATCTATTATGGAAGATCAAGTGAAGTACCTAACTGCGAAGGGGATATCAGCCGCGTTTGAGGCAAACATGAAACAACAGACGCTGACATCGCAGCTGGCCGATTCAGTATTGTGTTCGGTTCTCCAGAATTGCTTGTGGGTGTTAAAAAGTGGAGAGATATGCTTCAAGCAGACGCCATTGTTGTTATACGTGCACGAACAGATCAATGACTTACTGCTTGTTTTCTTCTCCTTCTTTGATTTTCTATGCTGACTGACTTGTTGCACGCCGGTCTGTTGTTGTGGGGACATTTCCACGCCCCGAAACGTGACGCTGAACGAAACGAACTGTAATTGGTTGTTTGACATGTCGGTCAAACGGCCTTATGGGCGGGCTTTGGCCAAAGAAAGCTGCTATGAATTCCAGACCTTTAGCCGTCAGTCTGAAGGTCTGGCTACGCGAGACTAACAGTGACATGGAAACCAGTTAAACCGTAACACCTGTTAATCATCTTTAGCTTCAGCGCATGCGGTTCCAACATTAAAAACTAGGATTGGGACTGTCATAACATTATAATGAGAACACTAGTGTAATAAAACAATAGACATAGGCTACTAAATTAAAAAATATATAAAAAAATAAAAATGCAGAATTTATGTGAGGGTTATGTTTAGGGGACAGAAAAACCATTACGCCAATGGAAAGTCCTCATAATGAGAGCTGCACAGGTGTGTGTGTGTGTGTGTGTGTGTGTATGTGTGTACACAGTACATGAGTCAAGAGTACTGCTAAAAATACATTTCCGGTGACATGCAAATTAAACATGTAACACTAATAACTCAAGTTCAAACATATACACTATTTCTTGCAGATACATTATTTAGTATTTTTTCATGCTTTGGCTTTGATTGGAACTATTTTCATTGATAGAGCAAAACACAAAGTCAGTCATCATCTATATTTAAAAAAAAAATAGAAAAAGAACTACTTACCATATATAGTAACAACAAATGTCAAGTTTGTGGTTCCTCTGCTGCTGGTGATCTGTAGTTCATATTCTCCAGTATGTTCACTTGTCGTGTTTGTGATGGTCAGAGATCCAGTCTTCACATTCAGCTTCAGTCTGTCTATGAATCTCTCATCAACATCATCATAATGTGTCTTCACAGCCCCTCTTCTGATTTCAGCTATGAGAACGCCTACAAACTTCCACTGTATCAGATCATCTTTCTGTATTTCAGTTTGAGGGTTTAGGATCACATTCTTTCCCTCTTTCTCTGATATGTTCCTCACTTCATTAGTGACTGCAGCACATAGAAACAGAGAAACACAAAGAAATGTTTTCATTAGTGTGAGCATGTGAACATCAGAGTTAGAAATTACTACACAAATATCATTCAGATAATGGTATATCAGTTTGAAATGGAGTAAGACACAAAACATCATATTACTGTCTCTCAGTGTCACTGTAATGTGTAACAGGACCCTGAACCGACAGGTGATGTATCCTGACTTCTTTACACATGATTTTATTATTTAAGTGGTCACTTAGTAGCCTGACTACGTCAGACTTCCTACTTCCGCTAATTTCATTTCGCTCCTGTACTCAGTCTGAGATAGCAGCCTATCTTTCTGTTTTCCACCGGCCTGAAAACAGCCGGGCCAATCAACGAACAGAGGGCGGGCTGAAAGCCGTGACGTAGTCGGTAAGCGCCGTGTTTAAGATTAGGTCAGGGAAATCGAAAACGACCGCTGATATGGAGACGCGGATGCAATTCGCTCTGTTGTGGAGAATATTCCCGGCATTAGCAAACTGAAGCCCGAACACGAAGAGTGTGTATTAAACATTTTGAATGGAGGTGATGTTGTGGCCCTACTCCCTTTGGGAAAAGTTTAATTTATCAACTATTACCGATCGTCAGCGAGAAACTGGGGAGCCTTTTGACAGGTCAGTGTAGCTTTTCTTTTCCAGGTCTTAAATACCGTAAAACTTCAAATAATAGCCCGGGCTTTTATTTGCCCAAATCGTCGAACTGCACCGGCTTGTACTTGAGATAGGCGTCTAACTTATATGAGACAGGCCTTTATAGTTGAGATGTTGTTCATTGAGATGTTGTTCCTAGAGTCTATAATCTCTAAAAATCTCCAAATGCTCCACGTGAAACCGCGGTCTTCCGACCTCTTACTATCTTGTCGATTGATTTTTATGAATATGCGCGAGGGAGAGAGAGCAAGACAGCGCTCGTGTTGTTTGTAGACGTGGGAGTGCGCGCGCGCGGCCGGGGCTCTCTCTCTCTCTCTCTCTCTCTCTCTCTCTCTCTCTCTCTCTCTCTCTCTCTCTCTCTCTCTGCTCGTTTGTGCCCTGTCAAGCGCAGCAGTCATTCTATTACATCACTCACAGATCAAAAAAGTCGTTTACAGCCATGTTCACTCGGGTATTTCGCTCGCATCATCAAGTGTTTACAGTGGAAGTTCGATCATAGATTTGAGTTCGATGCATGATGTCTGTGGTTCGATGCGGCTGTGTCGGAGCATAACATACGTCATAAACAAACTTATCTGATTGGCTTACGGGTAACCAATGATTTTAAACTTCAGTACGCGCCCCCTAGCGAGAGAGAAAACACTTCTCTATTATGCTATCCCAGACTCTGTGTACGAAGCAAAGTGAAGTAGCAGAGTCTGGTATTACCAGGCTAGTCACTTAGTGCAGGTAAGAAGAACTGATTTGTTAATATATGATCCTGCAGTGTTTGGGTCCCTATTTGAGACATTCAGTGGATCATCTCAAAACTAACATCACACTCATAACACTCCATCAGTAAGTTGGCTAGCGATGGAGCAGCTAAAATAGAATTTTTAGTATTGGAATAAAGTTATAGTAATGTGTGATGTTTGGGGATGCTGCACACTTCAGTGTGACTGTGCAGTGCTCTGTTCTGCCTGTAGTATACACTACACATTCATGAGATGCTGTTTTCTGTCGCATAATTTATATCCACAGTACGGTTATACTTAGTTAACATTTTTTTCACATTCACATAATTTCAAGGATTTTAATAATTATACAAATGGAATCATTTTATAATAATGGGATAAAACAAGGATTAAACAGCTTTTCACCAGATACGGAATGAGGAACATGGGCACCATTTCCATCTGATTTAAGATAAGATGAGCCATATGATCTGGCTCACTAAAAAGAGCCGGAAAATTTGAATCACTTTGGTGCTTCAATCAGTGTTTCACACAACACATTCCACTCAAACCACATCCCATAATGATCATGTGTTAGGCAGAGCTTCACTGCAGTCTGAGATGCATTCAGGTCGGACAGCATTTCCATAATTTCAGTGATCGACCACAAAACGTTTGAGATCAATTTCCACCTGTATTCAGCACAGAACACTTAAAGTGGATGTTAATACCAGGTGTCAAATGGGTCATAAAGAACTACTTTCAAATGACACTCTGAAATGCTGATTCCTTCAGAAACAAAACATATGCTTGTCTTCTCGAGTGAGACATTAAATCATTCATTCAACTGATTTGTTCAAAACACTGATTGATTCAGGAACAAAAAAGAAGCTGTCTTTACGAGTGAGACATTAAATAAATAACTCTGTAGATTCCTTCATAAACACGGATTCATTCAGGAATGAAACACTGCTACTGTCTGTTACTTGGAGACGCCTAACTTCTGTGGCTTCGTTTTCATTGGTGGAGCAAAAACAGACAGTACTTCTTATTGAAAAGCAATATCACACTCGGAATTGTGCTGTTGTTCTGATTATTTAGACTTGGAATCTGTATGTTTATTTTGCTGGAAGCTAGTTATTTTACTTTATACAGTTTTAAATATGGATAATTTTTCTTACACAAATACATCTCTTCAGAAGGCCTTTGTTAACCCCCCAGAACCGTGTATATACTTTTATGATGAATGGATGCACTTTTTTAAACTTCAAATTGATGGTTGCAATCCACTGCGATTAAAGCCTGAAGCGTCAGGGTGTTTATTAATATGAGTCTGATTGTATTCGTCTAAAAGAAGAATGTCATATACACCTAGGATGACTTGAGGGTGAATAAATCATGGGCTAATTGTCATTTTAAAGTCAACGACTCTTTTAAACTGTCGTAAATCTCGAATGCTTTAGCACAGACTTAAGTTTGATCTCTTTTCAAAGATGACATTTGGCAGATTATTGCTGAAGTGAAAAAGTTTTAAAAAGTTAAACTTAAATTAACAGAATTGTTATGAAAAATGAACAAAAATACTATTTTAAATTTTTATGATATATATATATATATTTCAAAATCCCATAAAACTGCAAGAAAATCAAAGCAATAAATCTAAACAAGTTGTGTTCCAAATTTGAGCTTGATATCTCAAAAAAATGTACTAGATAAAATTTGTCTCCCGTTCATTTTCAATGCGCTCATCTTTGACCGCGAGGAGCACACGCAGTGCTCAATTTGAGCCGGATCCTGCTTCGGAAAATATCAGTTTTGTGATTTTTTGCATTCCGGCATTGCTTTTAAACGATCCAGCATTAACAAGTGCATTACATGGTGACGGTGCGTGCAAACTGACTGAAGCGTTATGGCGTTCTGATCGGTTCTTCAATATAACTTTGCAACATGCACTCGTCTCAATTAACGTCTAACTTAACGTCTTATTTTTTTATTCTGCCATTTATTCCATTCAATTTAAGGCACAGACGAGGCGTAGGGATGTAAATCACATGTGGCAGAGAAATGTCGAGTCAGACATATTTTGGAAAGACGCAGCAAAAGACACGTTTTATCTAATGTTTATGGTATATACACTACTGTTCAAACTTTTATGTTAGATTTGTGAAATATTGTTACAATTTGTAATAGTTTTCTATGTTATTATACTTTAAAAATGTAATTAATTCATTTTTGTGACTGTCTTCAGTGTCACACGATCCTTCAGAAATCACTCTAATATGAAGATTTGCTGCTCAAGAAACATATGATTATTAATAATGTTGAAAAGGGTTGTACTGCTATTTTGATTTAAAGAGTGACGCATTTTTTTCAGGATTCTTTTATAAATAGAAAGTTATTCCTCTATTGCAAAATATTCTCTGTTTTTGTTTAAGGGCTCGTATTTTGATGTGTACTGAATCACTTCACATGTTTTCTCATCCGTTCCTTTTTGTTTCAGTGGCTCCTGATCACAGTCCTCCACTAGTTTCTAGTTTAGTTGATCAGTATCCAGTGCTTGAATAGCTCTCTGATTCAGTCTGTTGTGGTCAGGCGATATCTTTAGTATATTTACAAATCTGTCCCGTTTATGGGTTTTCTCTCTCATTTAGGATTGTCTGGTTTACCTTCATCCGGTTTGATTCACTAAATGCTGCGGTAAGATCCTTGCCTCTGCTCCATTCATTCTGCACTCCAGAACCAGATCGTGAAAATTAAAAATGTATTTACTGTCACCTTTGATTAATGTAATGCATCCTTGCTGAATAAAAGTGTTAATTTTTCTTCTTTTTTTTTAATCAAACTTTTGAATGGTGATGGTGGCTATAAAGAAACACCATGAGGATTCAATGGTAACATCACATATGTCTCTTGCTAATCCTAATTTGTTCAAAAAGTTAATAGATCAACAGTTGAGTGCATCTTTCAACCAATTAATTAACAAACTATTGAGCACTGTGCTATTTATTGTGTTTACAAGCAATACATTTGTTACTGCATAACTTCATTCAGTGTTCATAATAGAATAGTTTTCAGTTCTTTTGAGGCTGGATATTTGTCACCTATGGTATCAATTTACAGTAGAATCAATATTAGATTCTGGTATCGTACCAAAGCCAAAATTGCAGTACAGAGCCAACCCTATTCTCTTGCTATATCAGCTGTAATACTTACACTTTCTTTCTAGTTCAGAGATCTGTCGGCGATGGTAAATCACACCAGCAGCAGCAGCAGCAGCAGACACCAGCAGCAGAACAACAACTATTCCTGCTACAGCACCTGAAGACAGACCTGGTGCTGTAATGATAAAGAGAGACAGACATTAGTGTGAATGTGTCTGATCTATAACACACACTATAAACATCAGCACTATATAACCTGAGTGTAGATCTGATACTGTAATGATAAAGAGAGACAGACATTAGTGTGAATGTGTCTGATCTATAACACACACTATAAACATCAGCACTATATAACCTGAGTGTAGATCTGATACTGTAATGATAAAGAGAGACAGACATTAGTGTGAATGTGTCTGATCTATAACACACACTATACACATCAGCACTATATAACCTGAGTGTAGATCTGATACTGTAATGATAAAGACAGACATTAGTGTGAATGTGTCTGATCTATAACACACACTATAAACATCAGCACTATATAACCTGAGTGTAGATCTGATACTGTAATGATAAAGACAGACATTAGTGTGAATGTGTCTGATCTATAACACACACTATAAACATCAGCACTATATAACCTGAGTGTAGATCTGATACTGTAATGATAAAGACAGACATTAGTGTGAATGTGTCTGATCTATAACACACACTATAAACATCAGCACTATATAACCTGAGTGTAGATCTGATACTGTAATGATAAAGACAGACATTAGTGTGAGTGTGTCTGATCTATAACACACACTATAAACATCAGCACTATATAACCTGAGTGAAGATCTGATACTGTAATGATAAAGACAGACATTAGTGTGAATGTGTCTGATCTATAACACACACTATAAACATCAGCACTATATAACCTGAGTGTAGATCTGATACTGTAATGATAAAGACATTAGTGTGAATGTGTCTGATCTATAACACACACTATAAACATCAGCACTATATAACCTGAGTGTAGATCTGATACTGTAATGATAAAGACAGACATTAGTGTGAGTGTGTCTGATCTATAACACACACTATAAACATCAGCACTATATAACCTGAGTGTAGATCTGATACTGTAATGATAAAGACAGACATTAGTGTGAGTGTGTCTGATCTATAACACACACTATAAACATCAGCACTATATAACCTGAGTGTAGATCTGATACTGTAATGATAAAGACAGACATTAGTGTGAGTGTGTCTGATCTATAACACACACTATAAACATCAGCACTATATAACCTGAGTGTAGATCTGATACTGTAATGATAAAGACAGACATTAGTGTGAGTGTGTCTGATCTATAACACACACTATAAACATCAGCACTATATAACCTGAGTGTAGATCTGATACTGTAATGATAAAGACAGACATTAGTGTGAGTGTGTCTGATCTATAACACACACTATAAACATCAGCACTATATAACCTGAGTGTAGATCTGATACTGTAATGATAAAGACAGACATTAGTGTGAATGTGTCTGATCTATAACACACACTATAAACATCAGCACTATATAACCTGAGTGTAGATCTGATACTGTAATGATAAAGACTGTCATTAGTGTGAGTGTGTCTGATCTATAACACACACTATAAACATCAGCACTATATAACCTGAGTGTAGATCTGATACTGTAATGATAAAGACAGACATTAGTGTGAGTGTGTCTGATCTATAACACACACTATAAACATCAGCACTATATAACCTGAGTGTAGATCTGATACTGTAATGATAAAGACTGTCATTAGTGTGAGTGTGTCTGATCTATAACACACACTATAAACATCAGCACTATATAACCTGAGTGTAGATCTGATACTGTAATGATAAAGACTGTCATTAGTGTGAATGTGTCTGATCTATAACACACACTATAAACATCAGCACTATATAACCTGAGTGTAGATCTGATACTGTAATGATAAAGACAGACATTAGTGTGAGTGTGTCTGATCTATAACACACACTATAAACATCAGCACTATATAACCTGAGTGTAGATCTGATACTGTAATGATAAAGACAGACATTAGTGTGAGTGTGTCTGATCTATAACACACACTATAAACATCAGCACTATATAACCTGAGAGTAGATCTGATACTGTAATGATAAACACAGACATTAGTGTGAATGTGTCTGATCTATAACACACACTATAAACATAAATATTTAAAAAAAATATTTAGTGAGTAAATATATATGCCAATGACTGTGATAATTACATATAAACATTAAAATTACATTTAATGTTAATTATAATGTCATCTGAATTATTTATAGACAACTGATAAAAAAATCCTTCATAAGACTTGAGTTACTCACCACTGACAGTAACAATGAATCTCTTGTATAATGTATGTTTGTTGCTGCTGATCTTCACTGTATAAAATCCAGAGTCTGTGGTTCTGGTGTTTGTGATGGTCAGAGATCCAGTCTGATGATCCAGCTGCAGTCTGTCTCTGAATCTCTCATCAGTGTCATGTAATGGTGGGCTCTTTGCCTCTATATAATGTTTAGCTATGAGTTTTCCTTCATCTCCAAACCTCCACACTATCAGCTCATCTCCGTGTGTTTCAGTAACATCAGTCTGAAGAATGACAGAGTTTCCCTCCATCACTGACACTGTCTTCATTTCAGCTTCACCAGCATGAACAACAGATGGAGACTCTGCAAGAAACAGATTCACAGACACACAGATTAAACATGTTGAACACTGTGACTGGCACTAGAATATCAGTTTATCTTATGGTTAATACACAAGGCATATGCAGATTGATAAAGGTAATCAGTTTAGCATGTACAACAGTTACTTTTGGTTGACTAATTTAATGATGTGTCATTTCATATAAGAGCACAGGAACATTTCACTATTTGAAACACTACAATTGTATGTGTTCAGTAGATAGAATTACAATTTATAATTCTATACAATTGATCCTGCTTTGAATTATTTCAAAACTATTATCAATGGAATCAAACTAAAAATATCTGACCAAATTGTGTGTAAAATGTAAGTCAATCAATATGGATTTATTTCTAAAACTATAGCATATCTTAGCAGTATCACACTCGACATCATGCTGCTGTTCAGTCATGTGATCATATGCGGCCCAATCACAGCTGTGATGATATTCAGAACAACAGCATGACTGTGATTTTGTGAAACTACAATTCTGTAAGACTGTTGAAGACATAATTAATATTTGCTAGTGAAATCTCAGCTTAATTCAGTTTAATTAATAAAACAAAACAAAAACATAAAAACATCTAACTATCGATAATAAAAGTATTCTCACCAGAGACAGTGACATTGAAAGTCATACGTGAGGACCCAGACTTGAGGTCGATCTGTACTTTATAGAGTCCAGAGTGTTTGGTTCTCATGTTCTTGATGGTCAGAGATCCAGTCTGATCCAGCTGCAGTTTCCCTCTAAATATGTCAGTGTGATTGGGATATGAGATATCCTTTCTATTAATTTGAGCGATAGTGGAACCTTTATCTCCAAACCTCCACAGAATCAGAATTATTCCCTGTGTTTCAGTAACATCAGTGTTTAGAGTGACAGATTCTCCCTCCATCACTGACACTGGCTTCACTTCATCTGCTTCAGCAACAAACACTCCTGTAGAACAAACAGAAACAGTTTCTCAGAGATTAAACTCATGTGACACTGCTAGAGATGTTAGAGAACAGATTTAAGCATTTCAGATCAGGCTTGCACAATAAGCACACTTTGACCAATTAAAGGGCCCCTATTATGCTCATTTACAGGTTCATAGTTTGGTTTATGGAGTCTACCAGAACATTTACTTCATTTACATTTTAAAAACCTCTCTCTTTTATTTATAAGGTTATAATATGGTTTATTGTTTGTATCTTTTCCTTCTGAAAAGAAAATCTGCTCTGCTCGGTCAGTCAGTCCGAGTCTGTTGTGATTTGTGACAACAGTTGATGAAAGTTAGGGTTTATCAGCTCGTTTTTCTTGACTGTCATTGTCGGACTCAAGCTCAAACTGACGCCATAGTTAGCATTACAGGGTCATTCCGTTCCAAATCAGCCAAATATCAGAAGCTTCGACTACATTTATTGGATTTTTTGTTGTTTTTTTTCCTGAAGAAAGACGAAGATAAATCGTGACTGAAGACAAAATATTAAATGTCATGAATGTATATTTACTGAGTAATCCACTATTTTTTTATGACTATGACAATTTTCACCTGAGTTTCTGAGACAAATTACAGATAATAGTAAAAATAACTTTAAAAAGATGGCAGCATCATTTTATTTTTTTACACAGAGACTGGTAGGTCTGTTAGTGAAATATGTTGACTTTAGCAATCTTTGTTGCATTACATACCAACAGAGACAATTTAAAAAAGGGGAGAAGCACTTTCATGGGTTTCCCTTTTCCGAGGTTTGCATGCCTGTAACTAATACTTCCTTTTAGATTTTGGATCTTACACTTTTCTTTTGTAATCTTCATTTTACAGGCTCTGTATGGATAAATCCCAGAAATATGGAGATCTTAATGTGGTTTAGTGAGTTAATTGGTATATTGTACACATTTCCAATGGTCAGAATTAAATGTGGGACACGCAACAGCTAATACTTTTTTTCTTTTAACGCTTGTATGGTGTTCGGGTCTGTATGGTGTTCGCTTGTATGGTAGCGGATTACATTATTTTGCATCACTTGCAGTCTGTTTTTAAGTTTAACTGATAATCCACAGTACCAAGCAGAACATGCATAATCAAAATGATATTGAATCAGTGATACAACCAGTAATTTCTTTATAGAAAAATCTAGATGCCTTGTTCTGCGATACAGGAATTTCAGTTTACCGGCACACTTGGATAATATTTTGTAAGCATTATATTTACAGGTTAATGACTGCTCTAATGTTAACCCCAGGTATGTGACACTTTTCTGAGACACTATTTCAGTGCCATTACAGGTGACCTTAAGAACATTTGTTCTAGACAACTTCCTTTTTGTTCCAAATAAAATGGACTCAGCTTTTCCCAGATGTATTGAAAGCCTGTTGTCTATAAGCCACTTGCTAACACTATTTAATTAATTACCTAGAGTCTTCTCAATCTCGCTGATATCATCCCCAGAGACCAGTAATGCAGAGTCATCACATTTCACCACAGCTCTTAAACAAAACAGCTCGACATAAAAAATGATCGAGAACAAAACCCAATAAACAATAAAGCGTGATATAATATGCACGAGAGAACAGGTGAGACTTCAGATGAAACCTAAAAATATTTAATGTTGGGGAAGATCTAACAAAACACGGTAGATCGTTCCATAATCTCGACCAGCGACAGCAAAAGCACGATCACCGTTGGATTTAAGATGTAGCCTACTCGTGGGATAGTTAACAGGAGCTTAGTTGAGGACCTAATGCGCATTGTGTTAAACGCTTAGAGTAATGAACCTTTTTTTGGCACAATTTTATGAAAGCCTCAACTGCTTCAGAAATCCTCGGCTTCCCTTCACTAACTTATTGTATTTAAAGAGGAATGTCTGAAAAATAAATATTGTTGAAAACTACAAATGTGTTTCAATTCCCTCTATCAAAACAATTGCATGGAATGGATTGAAGGGTTACAAATTTATTAACTGTTTAATTTCGGTTTCCACTACAATAGTATATAGACATTCCCAAAGCTGCCTGTTCCTGTATGTCCTGATTTTACTATAGCAAGTGAGATTGTTATCAACACCATTTGTCTTGGGGGTTCCTCTCAGTGCGAGAAGGCCCTGGGATCCCTGTTCCCGGGTCACATGCTGAGCAGGTCCCAAAACCTGTATTCCTCATTTACATTTGCTTTGTTTTCACCCCAATGTAAACTCCTCCCCCTCTTAATGTATAAATTGCAAGGGAACATTTCCCTTAGTTGGATTAGATTGAGATGACTGCAGCGAAATAAAGAACTTATACCTCAAACAATCTCCTGGTCTGAACTTTGACTTTTCTACACGTGAGAAGAAAATAAGTTTCCTACAGGATCATTCTTGTCTGAGTACCAAAAATACAATTAAATGGTCAAGTTGTGGCACATTACCTTACTCTTAAAAGTGTATTTATATTGGAATCTGTTTCAGAGATATTTGGAAGAAGTAATTTTGTTCATTTTAACAGCTTTTGAAGCTACCAAGGTGGTAAAATCCTGATCATGTATTATAATAAAAAAATATAATAAAATGTGTATTTTTTCATAGACCATCATGATTGGGATTTTCATGATTAAGGACAATGTAGCATTTGTAAATTTTATAGCTGAAGTAGTGAATTGTTCAGCGGAAACTGAAAAACGGACAGAAAGAATCAGAATAATAATCAAAGCAGCTGAAAAATATCTAGAGAACGAGGATATTTCGGTGGAAATGATTAATGAGAAGTTAAAGATGCAATTGCAAACAACAAATACTCAAACAGGATGTGGTGGCTCATAATGGTGCTTTTAATATTAATGCATAATGCATTATGGGGGAGTGTTAAAACAGATAGCAATGGGCTGATTAGTGGAAGAAATGCTAGATTGGGGACAATTAGTTTGTATTAATAATGGTATTACGAGAATAGATGTGAATCAATAGATGATGAAAATCAGCTTTGGATATTACGCTAGTGTCTGAAAATCTAGAAAATGTGAATGGAATGTAAACAAAGTACTTTAGGAAGTGATCACTATCCAATATTGTGTCAAATTGGTGTGGATATTGTTCAAACCTTGGTGGAGAGAATTCCAAGGTGGAAATTTGCAGCCAATTGGGAGCTTTTTAAAGAATTGTGTAATAATAATATGAGTGAAATGGTAGATATTGAAGACATTGAAGAGTTAAGTAAGAAAATTAGTGAAGTGTTAAGAAATACGGCAGGGGAAGTAATTGGTAAAAAGAAAACTATAAGCAGAAGAAAAGCAGTCCCATGGTGGAATGAAGATTGTAGTAAGGCAGTTAGGGAAACAAAGCAATGAAGAAAGACAGAAAATCATTAGTGTTTATGATTAAATTAATTTTAAGAAAGCTCAGGCAATGGCGAGGAGAGAAGTAAGAATAGCAAAAAGAACGTTCTGGAGAGAATTCTGTAATAGAATTGGGGAAGAAATTGAAATAAATGATGTTTGGAATATGATTAGGAAGATAGGAGGGATTTTGAGAAAAAATAATATTCCAGTCTTAGTTAAAAATGTAAAAATTGCGATAAAAAACTGATAAAGCAGAGATGTTAGTGGAAGCATTTGTAAAGGTGCATAATGAAAATATCTCAGATAAAATGAGGAAATATAGGGAACAGAAAGTTAAGGAGAATGTTCACATATATAGAAAGAAGAATCAATCAGGAAGGAGGTTAGACTTAAAATTTAGTTTGTACGAGTTAAAGAGAGCACTGGTAGGGATTAAACATACTTCTCCAGGCAAGGATTATATTTGTAATGAGATGATTAAACAATTGTCAGAGTTATCATTGGTCGTGATTTTAAAACTTTTTAACAACATATGGGAGACAGGGAATATACCAGTGGAATGGAAGCATGGGGTCATAGTGCCAATAGCCAAACCAGGAAAAGACCATTCTTAGCCAATACATTATAGACCTATTGCACTGACATCAAATTTATGTAAATTTATGGAACGAATGGTTATGAACAGGTTGACTTATGAAATTGAAAGTAGAAACATTTTGTCAGAATATCAAAGTGGATTTAGAAAAGGGTGAAATACGATGGACCCAATTTTGAGTTCGGAAGCTGACATTCGAAAAGCTTGTTAATGAAACTGGAAAGTTTGGGAATTGAGGGAAAAATGTATAACTGGATTTCGATTTTCTTGTTTGGAAGATCGATTCAAGTATATAGAGTTGGGTCTGAATATTCTCGGATTCTACAAATTGATAATGGAACTCCCCAGGGAAGTGTGAGCAGCCCTATTCTTTTTAACTGAATGATTAATTACATTTTTCATATAATTGATACTGGAATAGGAAGATCATTGTATGCGGATGACGGAGCATTATAGAAAATAAAAATAAAATTTTATATTTGTAGAAAATAAAATACAAAATGCAGTGAATGAGGTGGAGAAATGGGCAAATAGCTGGGGTTTTAGGTTTTCTGTGGCAAAAACGCAAGTAATATGCTTTTCCAATAAGAAAAATATCAAATGAATATCAAAATGTATGGTCATCAGCTGGAACAAGTGAAAGTGGTGATATATCTGGGTATGTGGATGGATTATAAATTTAATTTTGAAGTTCAGGAATAAGGAATAAATGTATTAAGGTTGATTGTCAGGAGCAGATTGGGGGGCAAGCTGTCAGTCACTGAAAATAATTTATTATGCAGTGATCAGGTCAAACATAGACTATGGTAGTATGGTTTACAGTTCTGCAAACAAATCCTTACTTAAAAAGATAGAGGTAATACAAAATCAGGCTTTGCGTAGGCTATTTGTTGTGGAGCCTTTAGATCATCTCCGGTATAATCATTACTAGATGAATTGGGAGAATTGCCGCTAGAACAATGTAGGATTCAGCTGAGGATGAGGTACTGGTCTAGTGTAAAGGGACATCTGGAAAACCATCCAGTTAGACTACTTCTGAAAGATTGTTGCGAATATGAATACAAAGAAATAGCAAGTTTTGGATGGGTAGTAAGGAAGGAGGCAAACCGCTTGGGATTGATAGACCATGTAATAGCCCCCACTGTTCCTATACCGGCAATTCCCCCTTGGATGTTTCCTATGCCATTGATAGATTTACAAATACATAAAGTAATAAATAAACCAGGAAAAAACCTACCAACTGATATAGTAGTTCAATAATATATTAGTCAAGAATATTATTCTGTATTACAGATATTTACAGATGGATCAAAGGAGCCGGAGTCTGGTAGAACAGCAGTAGCAGTATACATCCCGACATTTAAAACAAAAATTTCAAAAAGAATATCTGATCATGTGTCAGTATTTACTACCGAAATATTAGCAATCATATTAGTGCTACAGTGGATCGAAGAAGTTCAACCAGCAAGAACTGTGATATGTACTGACTCAATGGTTACTCTAACTAGCCTAATAAATGGAAAATCTGAAACTCGGCAAGATTTAATATTTGAAGTGTTACAATGTCTATTTAGAACAAGGCAGTTAGGGATAGGTGTACTTCCTCTGGGTGCCAGTGCATGTGGGGGTGGATGGAAATGAGGAAGCAAACCAGCTGGCAAAGAAAGCATTAAATCATCCGCAAATAGAAATTAATGTATTTTAAAGCAAATCGGAAATAAAGAGATTGATATCAATCGAAATTAGTAAGAAATGGCAAATTATATGGAATAATGAATCTAAAGGAAGTCATCTTTATCAGATTCAGGAGTGTATTGGAAATGAGAGGAAAAGATATGGAAATAGGAAAATATATTTATTATTTTATTTTATTATTATCATTATTTCAACAGGGCTCTCAATTGTCATGCATTGAGAGTGACAGTCACTCATTTCGGTCTTTTGTCACGCACTCCCGCCACACATTGTATTTCTCACGCAGAAAAACTATTTATATATATTTAATATGCCGCAGTGCCCAAAATGTCTCTGTCCGTGTCGCTCTCACTGGAACCGGCAGGAATCAAGCGCGTCTCCTTTAGTTGAGCCTGCCACTTATCAGCCAATGAAAAAAAGAAAAGGGCTACACAATAGCCAATCAGAAAATAGCACTATTGTATCTGGGTAAGATTTAACGCAACAACCAATGAAAAAAAAGCATTTCCTGGAATTGTTCACGTGATTCTGCAATAACATCTCCCGAAAGTTTCGTTCACACACACAGAGGAAACCACTGGAGCTCCGAGCATAACTTTGAGCACAGAGTAGGTCATGATCTCCTGTTTTAATGTTACAACAAATTCACAACTTGTTTGACAAAAACAATGACAACTTGACTGCTGTTAGATAATGCTTCCCAGACAATTAGCATCAGTTTTTCACGAGTGTCTGTAAGTTAGACAACAGTTTTACAGCTGTTCACAGACAACACCTGCTCAGAACAAGTAGTCTAGGCCTTGTCATATTTTCCTTATCACACGATGACTGACATATTATCACATTATAAACATCTCTCTCTCCAAATAGGCTTAATAATTGTATTAGTAGGCTACTAAATAAATTAAAGTGTATTGCATAGTCGATGTTATTGGTCACACACACACACACGGAAATTCCATAAATACTTTGTATTTGGTTGAATTGTCAGTGCCGGGAACGAGGCAAAAACGAGGCAAAACAATCAAGAGCTCATGAAATATTATTTAAAAGATACAGGAAAATGAATAGAATCTAGTTGTTGCTTTTTAAATGTATTTATTAAGCTTATTTATTTTATTATTACTATTTTTTTCTTTTCTCTTTATTTCTTTTTCTCTTTTCCCCTCATTGATTCATTTCAATTCTTCCAAAACTAAGTGCACTCCACACTCCAGATAAGTAGGTGGTGGTAAAGCACCTTTTACGTTGGCTTGCCAATCTGCCCTAAAACAACAGAAGAAGACGCAGCCACAGCCTTAGATGAAATCAGCTGAAGATAAAAGACATTACTTACGTTTACACGACAACGATATGCTTAAAACAGAGAAGATTTTTATTTGAGTTTTCTACAGAGTTTTCTATTATCAAAACGATCATCCCCCCTTTACACGGATCCACGAAAACCACTAAAAAACCCTGTATTCTGAATGAAACACTATAGACTTAACATAAAGTTTAACGTTTTTAGTTGAAAACGGTGTCATGTAAATCTGTAAGTCGCATGAAGAATGCATTGTTGAGATTCATATGCTGATTCTTAATATTTTTCATCTTTGGGATGTACCTTCGCTAAGTGAGATATAGTAGGCTTCTGTGACATAGCCTATATAAGAATATAATTATTTGCATATTTAATTGCCCATGTTATAATTTAAGATATTTCATAATAGCATCACTATGAATTCAAATGTAATGGATTTTACTCGACACCGTTTTAACTGAAAACTATAATAAAACTAGGCTACAGTAATGTGTTCTGGCCGTTCATTTGTACGGCAACAGGGCCTGGTGGTTTGAAAACGCAAACAATAGCCGAGTTTCCACCGAAATTACCGGTGGTAATTACAATGTCTTCTATCTCAGACCCTTTAAATCGGAATAGCGTTTGTCTAGTCATTCTAGTGGTTTGTGTTATTTTCTCATCCTGCCTTGGGGAACTATTTGCAACCGGAGTCCATTATCTTTATCTAAACTAGTTTTCTCACACATACAGAATGCAAAAACTGCTTTATCCGGTTTTAATTTATTTATCCTTAAACAGGAGGGCATGTCCAAAATCATTCAAATAAATGCGATCATTTTAATAAGGCAAGTTAATGAAGTTCAGGAAGAAGACAGCAGTCGATGAACGCTGTATCGCTGTCAAAGTGAAACCGAAAGTGGTAAACAATTTACAGAAAACGAGCACTTACCGCATATTAGTAGAACAATCTGAAATAATTTGAAGGTGTACTTCATAATGTTGCAGATTTCAACAAAACCTAACTTCTAACTTATTGTTTTTAATATTCGTTGTTCGTTTCTGAACCACACCCTACCGACTGAAGGCGACGATTGTTAACCCTACAAAATACCAACAGACTCAGAGAGATTTATATATCAACTGTGTCTGACTAAATAATTTACACGATGATTTCTAACTAACTAAAGACGTAACGTTACGTTTACTTTTCCAAATTTGGAAAACTTTTGCAAACCGCAGAAGACCACAATGGCGGAGACTCTAACGGTTTTCTTCTTTACAGCGGATCGCAAACTAAAAACGAACATTACCGCCACCTGCTGTTTGGACTAGTCGATTATCTTTTTTCCTTCTTCTTCTTCTTCTGGTGTTTAATGGCGACATAAATGGTGCATTCCCGCCACCTACTGATCTGGAGTGTGGAGTATACTTGGCTTTGGAAGAAATGAGAGAGAGAAAAAAATTCAATTCTATTTATTATTCCTGTTTTATTTAAATATCTAAATATTAATTCGTGAATTCTTGATTGTCTTGACCCATTTCCTAACAATACTTTTATTGAAATTGTATCAACTCCCATCCATTGTAGCTCTTGAATTAACTCTTGTCTCTCCCATTCGTATGCAGCACATTCTAAAAGAATATGCTGCACTGTTTCTAAATCCCTGCACTTATCACAGTTTCCTGTATCATGCTTTCCTATTTTATAAAGACTATAATTCAATGCAGTGTGACCAATTCTTAACCTTGTAATAATGACATCTTTTTTCCTATTTCCATATCTTTTCCTCTCATTTCCAACCTGTTCTTGAATTTGATAAAGATGTCTTACTTTAGAGTCACTATTCCATATCTTTTGCCATCTTTTATTAATTTCAATTGATATTAATCTCTTGATTTCTGATTTACTTAGTGTTACGACTTCCCTTTTTGTCTAGGGGTGAAAGGGAACGACGAACAAAAAAAAGTGGAGAGACTTTGAGGATCTCCAGCTCTCCAGACCCAGATTCACAAAATCACCAAACAAGTTCGTTTTGAAATGGCAGGTGTGCCTTTTATTTTTACACTTTAGCCGAAGCTAGAAAATAAATAAAAAATAAAGGAACACATTACAAATAAATCCCAAAAAACAAAAGTACTACCTCGGGAGGAGGGCCCAATTCAAAAGAAAAACAAAAAATAACCTCTACCTAAAAGGGGAATAACATTAACTTACCTATACAAAACTGAAAACAAACAAAACAACAGTTCCCTTATCGAGTCGGTCTCTCGACATTACGTATGGGGAAATCCATTTTCCTCGAATCATGAAGTCTGATAGAATAACTCTTTTGCTTGCAAATAGCCAATGGCGGTCCCGCCATCACCTGATTGGCTGACACTGCTCAATATAGGTGACGGCGGGCGCCAAAAACCTCAGAATCTTTTTTCTTCACTCGAGTCTGTTTTCACCGTTGATGTACGCATTCAGAGCGGAGTATATTAAGGAGTTTTAATTCCCCTCTCGTGTTCCAGTGGATTATATTATGTCTCTTTGTCGCCCGTGTGGTGGACCCATCGAATCCCCGGACGCACACAACTTGTGTGCTGTGCCTCGGTCGGGACCAGGCAGAGGCGGCACTCGAGGGATCGGGATGTCCCGCCTGTGAGGAGCTTCCCATCAGATCCTTCGTGCAAGGCTGGCCGTTACACGTAGCGACGACCTTGTGTCTCCTGCCTCTCCCCAGTCTGCCGCGGACCGGGAGACGGCAGAGATCTCCATTCGCGGGTTCTGTTGAGGCGCTGACGTCGGCCCAAGGTCCACGCCATCCTCACGTGGCAGAGCCCGTGAGTTACTCTTGAGGCCATTTACCGCCCTCTTGAGGAAGCGCGGGAATTATCTCGTTCGATTACGACGATGACGACGCCAATGGTCCGAGTCTCCGTCTGAAGGCGCCCTCGCCTCTTTGGATGCGGAGCTTATGGCCATTCTCACTGAGGCGGTGGCAGCAGGGGCGTCACTAGGCCCTTTTTAGGGGGGCTTCAGCCCCCCTAAACTTCTGCCTAGCCCCCCTAAAAATGTGCGATTAATGTAGGCTACACAAATTCGTGTTCGTTTCAGTCTTGTTATAATCAGATTCAGCGCGTTCTTCATCTTCAATCCGCAGCGGCGCCGAGCCGAGAGCACGTCAGAAACAGAGGACAGGGTGTGTGTGTGTGTGTGTGTGTGTTCATGTGTGTGTTCACCTGAGCCTCATTGGTCTGTCACTGCTCGTCAATGTCAGAATATTTGAGATGACCAATCAAATCAAAGTAGGTGGGCTTTATGTTCACAGACGCTGAGCGCGAATTTTAACAGTGCGACTCGACGCGTACGGTCAAGTGCGAGATAAGATGTAAGTAGCTAAACGTAACATTTCATATTTTACTTTTTTAGGTCATAAATGTTAAACGAATGACAAAAAATAATCAGGCAAACTACCGGTAATATAGTTTTGTCTAATTTCGCCATTTTGAACTGAAAATAGGCCTATGTAACGTGACTCATGTAATGTAATAAAGTTTACAAGAAACATTAACAAAGCCGTTTTCATCATGTTAGGCACAAGATTAATAATGAATGTGTACATATTGAGAATATAATACAAATTGTAGCCTTTAGTAACTTAAAAAAGCTCAGCTTTAGGAGGGGAAGAGAAAGGGATGAAGAGACTGAGAAAAAAAGAAAGAGTGATGGAGATGAGAAGAGAGCAGGTATTGACAAATAATCTGCCCACTGGCACTGACATGGTTTTAAAGCTATTTCTTATCCTTTTTTTTTTTGGTCTTCAAACGTCTTGAAATGCACATATCAGAGAAATAAAAAATTTGAACCCCCTACCAACCTCAAATTTAGGACCTCTGTGATTATAAAGCCCTGTCTACGGCCCTGTATTAGGCATTAGATCAATAATAAAATTGTAGCCTATACATATTGTGAATGCATTTAATAAACTTAATTACCTTTAGTAGCTTTCAGTTAATAAACGCACCTGAGAAAATGATTCAGTTGACCCTATGTTTACTTTCTTCACTGACAGACACACATGAAAAGCCTATATCAGTCAAAGCTCAGCTGGGCAAGATAAAAACAAAGAGAAAAAGAGTGTGATGCTGATGAGGAGAGAAAAATAATCAGCTGCCCACTATCCAAGTTTTTTGGCCTTCAGAACATCTTAAAATCCACATTTGTAGATCAGAGAAATCAAAATTTTCTCGGGGAGACCCCGAACCCCCGTATTTGCCCTACCTCACATTTGGGACCACAGTTATTATAAAACCGTGCCTTTGCATCATAATGAAAATGGTTAATAGTGATCTTTAGATCCTAAACTAAAGTGTTACCTTTTTTATATATTTTTTAAAATCATATTGGGGGCTTAGCCCCCCTAAAATAAAAATCCTAGTGACGCCCCTGGGTGGCAGATATGGAGCTGGAGTGGACAGCGCCCAAGGAGCTGCCGTCGGAAAGGTGGCCTCGGCACGGGCCGTCAAGCTGAAGCGAGTTCCATGAGGAACTCACCAGATCATGGCGCTCCCCTTACTCAGCCCGAGCCCATGCACAAGGTACCCAGCTGCTACTGCAGTGGAAGGGGCAGAGAATTTGGGCTACGCTCGATTGCCTCCCGTCGAGGATGCCATCGCGGCTCGTTTAGCATATTCTCCCGGCTGGAAGACCCCCAACTGCCAGAGCCTCCCTTCCGCCAGAGGCAGTTCAGGAAGTCGCTGAAAAAAAAAAAAAAAAAAAACAGCGCTCCTGATGTGCGTGTCAGGGAGGAAAGGGCGCGGGACGTGTTCGTCGGACCCGTGCGAAGAGGGCGCCCAGAGTTCGACGAGAAGGTGTTGTTTCTGAAACCGCTGTGTTCTTTTTCAATAACAAAGTACATTACATGTCTCAGCAAAAGAGCTTCTCTCCCCAACATTATTACCCGCCTCATAGGCGAAGCCTCTCCCCCGGGAGACGCATTGCAGAGCGGAAGCTCGGGGAAACCCGAGGAGATGGCTATCTATGTCCCCGTGCATGATGCCGCGGACGAGCTATACCATTTCATATAGCAGTCAATGCTTCCCCGGTGGCTGGCGCCCAGCCCCCGCCGCAGCATTCATTGCCCTGTATCCTTCAGTGCAATGGCGATTCTGATTACTACACAGTGTGTATTCACAGTTGTTGCGCGATGCAACTGACGCTGTGTTACGTACACACCACACTGTTATGTGTAATGATTTATGCCATTATATATTGCCCTGTGTCCTTCAGTGCAATGGCTATTCTGATTACTGCAAGTACGTGTTCACAGTTGTTGCGCGATGCAACTGACGCTGTGTTACGTACACACCACACTGTTATGTGTAAGGATTTATGCCATTATATATTGCCCTGTGTCATTCAGTGCAATGGCTATTCTGATTACTGCAAGTACGTGTTCAAAGTTGTTGCGCGATGCAACTGACGCTGTGTTACGTACACACCACACTGTTATGTGTAAGGATTTATGCCATTATATATTGCCCTGTGTCATTCAGTGCAATGGCTATTCTGATTACTACACCGTAAGTATTCACAGTTGTTGCGCGATGTAACTGACGCTGCATTACGTACTCACTACACACTGTTATGTGTAATGATTTATGCCATTATATATTGCCCTGTGTCCTTCAGTGCAATGGCTATTCTGATTACTGCAAGTACGTGTTCACAGTTGTTGCGCGATGCAACTGACGCTGTGTTACGTACACACCACACTGTTATGTGTAAGGATTTATGCCATTATATATTGCCCTGTGTCATTCAGTGCAATGGCTATTCTGATTACTGCAAGTACGTGTTCAAAGTTGTTGCGCGATGCAACTGACGCTGTGTTACGTACACACCACACTGTTATGTGTAAGGATTTATGCCATTATATATTGCCCTGTGTCATTCAGTGCAATGGCTATTCTGATTACTACACCGTAAGTATTCACAGTTGTTGCGCGATGTAACTGACGCTGCATTACGTACTCACTACACACTGTTATGTGTAATGATTTATGCCATATATTGCCCTGTGTCCTTCAGTGCAATGGCTATTCTAGTTACTACGCAGTACGTATTCACAGTTGTTGCGCGATGCAACTGACGCTGTGTTTACGTACACACTGCACACTATATGAATTTGCCGTTGTATATTGCCCTGTATCCTTCAGTGCAATGGCTATTCTGATTACTACGCACAGTACGCAGTACGTATTCACAGTTGT